TTGTACTTGAAGAAACTACTGACTCTGTATTTTAATATAAGAAAAGAAAATGTATCTTGACATAGTGAATATAAGGACTAGAGATGGGGAAGAGATAATAATCACAGAGAATGAAAGTTGGAAGAGATTTAAGAGAGAATTCAGTTAGCTCTTAATTTTACTGTTGAAGAACTAAGGCCCACGGAAAGGTTTCAATTTTTCTAAGGTCACACGGTTAAGTTAGCAACAGAGTTAGAGGCAACTCAGATCACTGGGTACAGACAGTGCTGTACCCACTGTATTAACCCAACTGCAGAACTCAAAGGTCTCTAATGAACAACTTGCTGGAGATGAGAATTCATCCTCCATTTCTCCTTTCTCAGACTCACCTTGCTCCTACCTGCTCATCCTCCCCAAAAAAATCCATAGCTGTCAGTCAATCCTGACTTACGGTGACCCTGCATGTTGCAAAGTAGAATTGTTCTGTATGGTTGTCTTGGCTGTAATCTTTACAGATGTGGAACATGAGGCTTTTCTTCCATGGTGCCATTGAGTAGGTTCAAACCACCAACTTTGAGGTTAATAACTGAGGGCAAACCATTTGCACCACACACCACTACCCACAAATTTAAGAAGAAAACTAAACAGTAAATGTTTCCTTTTCATGCTTTTTTCTCCACCCACATAACTTATTTTCTTCTTTGGCACGATAAGCATGCCACCAGAAGTTTTTATGGAGTAAATTCACATTCTCTTTGCTGAAGCAGATATCAAATTAGAACTGCAACTACATCTATCAAGATGGACATATCCTGGATGATAATGTTGAAAAGGAAACATGCAAGTTGCATAATAATATGACAATGTAACATCATTTTGTTTAAGTTTAAAAAAATCTGCAAAACAATTCTTTCCAATCAGTATGAATATATGAATATGTAATACAGACACAAAACCACTGAATTCAAGAAAATGATTAACTCTAGGGTGAGAGAGAAGGGAATGATATTGGGAAGAGTTATTCATGGAACCCTAATTGTATCTGTAATGTTTTATTTCTTAAAAAAGAAATGGAAAATTTGAAGAAAAAAAAAAAAAAGGATAAGCCTAGATGGTGGGTTTATTATTCTGATATGATCTATTAAATATTTGCTTGAAATGCCTCACAAGTTTCTTAAAGCTTACACATAAAGCATTATTTATTGTTATCATCATTAACTCTTGATCTCCTATTATTATACTAATTACTTATACTTATCAAAAATGTTGAAAAGAAACACTTACGTACACAATGATCAGTGTATGTAAGTGCATCCCTCCCTTAAGGGTGTAAGTTTGTCAAATTTCTCCAAGAAAATGTTGGTTGAGTAATTATAGCTTATTCAACAATGACAAGAATCTCTGTGATAGTTGAAGCTGTGTCAACTTGGCTGGACCACAATTCTGTGTGGTTTAAGCAGTTGTGATGTGATTATTCCCATGATGGGATCAGATGAATATGTTTTGAGCAGCCAATCTGTTGAAAGGGAGTTTCCCAAGGGGTGTGGCCTGCTTCCAGTATATTTATGGACATCTTGGGAAAAGAGACATTCTTCTGTGGATTGGGATTCTGTTGTGCTGCCTACAACTGTCCATAAGCAAACAATCCACCATTCAGCCTGAAGATCTTGGATTCGTCATTCGTTGGAGTCAACAGCCAGTATACTGCCTGCCAACCTTGAGCTCCACAGCACTTGCAGTTGCAAGAGTCAAGAAAAGCCTCCAGCTTGACATTTGATCCAAAAACTTTGGACTTGCCAGCTTCTATAAGTGTGTGAGCCATTTTCCTAAGATAAAATTCTCTCTCTCTCTCTTTCTCCCTCTCTTTCTCTTTCTCCCTCTCTCTCTCTCTCTCTCTCTCTCTCTCTCTCTCTCATATATATACATATGTGTGTGTGTGTGTGTGTGTGTGTGTGTATGAACTTTACTGGTTTTGTTTCTCCAGAGAACCCTGTCTAACATAATCTCAAAGGACCTGGGAAGTCAGAGATCACAGTAATTGACCAAAACCCACCTTTCCACCAGGTGCAATCAGGAGAGCTGTGTGAGCACCTGAGTAGCATTGTGGGGAACAGATCTTATGGGCATGACCTATTTGGTGAGAATGCAGTTTGCATGGTGGATTCAGAGCCGACGTTGATTATTGGGTCACACAATGGCACATCAGTTGGACAGCTCTCCAGGGTTCAGCCTTGTTAGGAGCCTTCTTCTTTTTGCCTTTCTTAACCCTGAGGACTCACTGTTTATTCTTCACTCATCATTCCCTCCCACATAAACACAATGGCAGAAGCAGCTGAAGAAATATGAGCAGACTCATACTCCAGTGGAGTTACGAATTAGGGAAAAGGAATGTGGAGGTGGTCACTGTTAGCTAATAATAAAATGGTTCACAATTACTGAGAGGTTACCAGAAGCCTGACTCTGCTAAGTCCATAAGATGAATTATCTGATTTAATCTTTATAACAGCCCCATGTGCTAACCCCATCAGTTGGATCCACTATACAGACCAGAAAGCTGAGGCTCATATTATATAAGAAACTTGCCCAAGGCTAAACACAATTAAGCCATTTCAAGATGTGTGTCATGCTTTGTCCCAATCCTTTAGAATAAATAGGAGAATACGTAGAGTGCAGATGTTATATCAACTGGCCTCAGACTCACAATATCATATCAATTTCCCTAGGGAAAAGCTTGATAAGCATGGAGAACAGTATGAAAGATGGCATGAAAAATCTCAATACGAACAAACATCAGTCTGAGTCTTGTTAAAAAGTGAACCCAGGATACCAAACAATTCATAGCAACCCTCCTTGGGTTTCCAAGGTGGTATCAACCAATTGCTCAACTGATTGCCCAAATTTCCTTCCGAAGAGTGGCTGATGGGTTTGAACTGCCAGCCTCCTGGCTAGCAGTCAAATGCCTTAGGCACTACACAACCAGAGCTCCCACCAAACAATTAACAATGGCAAAATAAGTGAGAGATAGAATAATTGAATAGTAGTGCCATGAGAACTGAGGATGCCGTCTTCAATATCAGTCTGTTCATGTGTTTGGAGCTGCAGACCTGTTTTACCTGAAAACTTTGGCTGAAGAATAGGTGTCAAGCCTAAGCAGAGCTGCTCTGGCCACAGTTGGGAACAAGGGCAGAGTCCCTAAAACACCTCCACAGGGCAGAGTTGTCAACCTTTCATTTTATAGATAGCACACAGAGGCTCAAGTGATAGGCTATGGTCAGAGAAAAGTAACAATGGCTAATATTTGCTGTGCTTAACTATGTACCAGACTATTTTAAGAGTTTCATATGTAGACTTAATTCCACAACAACATTCCAAAAAAGCAAAATTATATCCAAATGATATCCAGATGAGGAAATTGAAGCAGAGAGAAGTTAAGAAAATTGTTAAAGGTAAGTAAAAGAACTAAGATCAAACCCAGACTCTTTGGCTTCTAAGGCCAGGTGATTAATTAACCATGATAATGATACATGCCTAACCAAGAGTAAACTGAGTCAAGTCTCCAGCACAGATCCTGTCTTCCAGAATAGTGATCCTATGTGTCTCCCACTACCCCATGCTATGTCTGCCCCATGAAGAACAATGACACAGGATTCAAGGAATGCATTTGAAAGGTTTATAATTCCTAGAAATCTGGAGAAGGAAAATTATTCACAGCTGAAGGTCATGTTTTGGGCCAAGGGCATTGTTTGGAGGTTGGACTCCTTGTAGATTTTGGGCCTGGTATGGCCTTGGTTTGAGAGCTACTTCTTGCTTTAGATGCCAAAGTGCCTAGACTGGGATTTTAAGCAAGGGAAGCAGAACATGTCTGCTTCAGGTTTTGTTTAAGAGTCCCTGGTGTTATAAACAGTTAAGCATGCAGCTACTAACTGAAAGATTAATGGTTCAAACCCACCCAGAGGCAGTTTGGAAGAAAGGACTAGTGATCTGCTTCTGAAAGGTCATAACCTTGAAACCCTTACAGAGCACAGTCTAATCTGATGAGTCTGAATCAACCAGATGGCAATTGGGTTTGGTTGGTTTCAGTGCCTTGTATATTATTGAGCCCAGGCTGCAAAACTATAAAGGGTAAGTCATCTGTCTGGAGGTGAAAGCCCTTGGCTAGGGGTGCTCCTAGGCTCCCCATCTCAGGAACCAGAAAGGAGCTCCAGGAAGACATAAATTCCAAAAAGGGTTAGGGATGATTCCTAAGAGTGATGCTCCTCCATCTCTCAGGTAACTCCTCCTCCCTGTCTACCTCCTTCTGTCAAAGCCTAACACCCACACAACCACTTACTCTAATAAACTCTGTACATTACAGATCCCCATCTGAATGCCATTCTAAAAAGAAGCATTGCCTTGGCATGATCAACCATTCTGGTGTGTCTGGGGTTTGAGCACTGGGAGTATCGTGTCCCCAGATAGCCTCCAGTCGGAAGCAAATCAGGATGATTGGTCACCTTATGTTAAATCTCAGATGATTTGACTTCTTAGAGCAATATCTCTCTATAGCCTCAACTTACAAAAAAAAAAAATCATGTTGTAACAGGTAGGAGGCAGGAAAGTGGCATTTTTCTCCACCAACAGCACCCTGATGAAAACAGGGTGAGGTGACTGAGGCCAAATATGCCCACCCACAGGCCACAGAGGAAATCACTGCCTGAGTGTTCTTCCTGTCCTAGGGAATCTTGGGAAGAAAGGAAGTTACACCCTGGGAGTGGCAGCCCAGAGCAGCGTTTCTTCTCAGCAGAGTGATCTGAAAGAGTTTCTTTAGGAAAAGTAGATGTTTCCCAGGCTTCACTCCCTTTTTTCAAAGTCAGAATGAAAAATACTTAACTGAAGAAGGAGGAGAGGTAGCCACAAACCACAGCCATCTCTCATTGTTTGGAAGAGCAGCTCCCCAACCCGGCGAGCCCTTGACCCAGACCTTGTTTCTCTGGACAAACCACTTCAGACTAGCCACAGATCAGGGTTCCCAGCAAACTCACCTGAGCCCCAGGACAGGCTCCGCTCCCCGGGGATGCAAAAGCAGCCACCCATGTGTGCACCATCCTCCCCGGGCTGGGGCCCCTGGGAGCACCAGCCAGGAGAGTGCTGGGAGGGGACAGCCTCCCAACGGTGTCCCTCCTCCCGCCTCCTCCCAGCACACAAGGACCAAGGCCTGGTTCAATGCACAATGTGGCCTTTGATATCCACAGGAGACCGAGGGAGGATGGGAGGGGCTGCCTAGCCTGCAGGCTGAGAGTCCTTGCACTGTTGGCCTCTGCCTGGGAAGCAACACTCCGCCCTGCCTTTCTATGATTGCTTCGTGCCTATCAGGCTGAGGCACATTCTTCACATTCTAGAATTGAGATATATGGTTTGGTTCTTGTGGGGGCGTCCAGGATGGAGGAGGAGGGCAGAGAGCATCATAGAAATCAAGGCTGCTGTTCTTCTCCCTCCTGAGTGACTTGGCCCACATGGATTTGCCTGCCACCCCTGGGAAAGTGATCCCCACCCAACTTCTCTCTATAGACACCTCCCTTGTTTCTGGATGGAGCTGGAGCTATGGGTGCAGCATCCTACATCAACTCCAGCAATATCAATAAGCTAGCTTCTCAGTGGTGAAGGGGCCAACCCACAGTCATGGGCTCCCTAAGTCTTATCAAAAGGAACCTAGGAAATCACCTGAGGTAGCCCAGATATTTTACAGGTAAGTTGTTGTTGTTAAGTGCCGTCCAGTTGGCCCTGACTCATAGCGACCCCTCCTTGGGTTTCCGAGGCAGTATCACTACGGAAGTAGGATTGCCCAACCTTCCTTCCGAGGAGTGGAGCTCTTAGAAGGATGCTAATCAGGCCTATTCAAAAAAGCCCTAATTAATGTAATTAAAATCTGTCAGATCTAACTGATTAGCTTGATACCCAAGCTGGGGTAGAGGGAGTGGGGTTCCTGAGGGGACGGAAGAGGAGGCAGCTGCTGCTAACTTGGGGGCTAGCTTTCAGAAGAAAGAGATGGTTGGTCTCCAAGGTGATCAAAGCAACTTATCTTTCATTTCCA